ATCCATGACTCTGCACCCACCCCCATCACTCTCTACCCCCACCCATCACTCTATACCCACACCCATCACCCTGCACCCTGACCCAACACAACCTGTCACTCTGAAATCCAATCCTTCACTCTGCACACCAACCCATCACTCAGCTCCCCCCATGCATGACTCTGCACCCACCCCCATCACTGTGCACCCCCACTCATCACTCTATACCCACACCCATCACGCTGCACCCTGACCCATCATTCTGCAACCCCACCCGTCACTCTGCTACCCCACCTGTCACTCTGCACACCCACCCATCACTCAGCAACCCAACCTGTCACTCTGCACTCCAACCTTTCACTCTGCACCCTAGCCCATCACTCAGCTCCCCCCCCACCCATCACTCTGCACCCCTACTCATCACTCTGCAACCCCACCCATCACTCTGCAACCCAACCCGTCACTCTTCTCCCCCAATCGTCACTCTTCTCCCTCAATTGCCTCCCCCACCCGTCACTCTGCACCCCAACCCTCCACTCTGCTCCCCCACCCATCACTCTGCTCCCCCACTTGTCACTGCTCCCCCATCCATCACTCTGCCCCCCTACCCCATCACTCTGCACCCCCAACCCTCCCACTCTGCTGCCCCACCCATCCATCACTCTGCTCCCCCACTTGTCACTGCTCCCCCATCCATCACTCTGCCCCCCTACCCATCACTCTGCACCCCAATCTGTCACTCTGCTCCCCCCAGTCATCACTCTGCTCCCCCCACCCATCACTCAGCTCTCCCACCCGTCACTCTACACCCATCACTATTTTGCAGATCTCATTTTTTCTCACAAGGTTTTGAAATATAAAAAAAGAAAATAAATTTTTTTTTTTTTTCTTCAATTTTCAAAAACTTGTGGCAACAAATGAGATCTGCAAAATACTTACCATGCTTCTTATCAAATTCCTTGGGGTGTCTACTTTCCAAAAAGTAGTCATTTGAGGAGGAGGGGGGTTGGTGCTTTTCAGGGCTTCTAAAACTGTGTTAGGTAGTCAGGAAGTGTAATGAGGAAATATAGCCCTTTAAAAGCCTGATGGTGCTTATTGGATTTTGGGTCCTGTACTTGGCTAGACTGCCAAAACGTCTCTCACATGTGGTACCCCCATACTAACGAGAAGTAGCAAAATTTATTTTGGGGAGTAATTCCACATATACCCATGGCATGTGTGAGCAATAAATCATTTAAGTGACAATTTTGTGTAAAAAGAAACATTTTTTGTTTGTCATTATCCAAAAACTTTGTGGTAAAAAAATAAATTCTTCTATTGATTCAACATGACTCTCAGCAAATAGTTTGGGGTGTCTACTTTCCAAAAAGGGGTCATTTTGGGGGTAGGGGCATTTTATGCCCCACCCGTCAATCTGATCCCCCACCCATTACTCTGCACCTCAAACCATCACTCTGCACCTCCACTCGTCACTCAGCACCCGAGCCCATCACTCTGTACCCCAACCCATCACTCAGAACCTTAAGCTGTCACTCTGCAACCCCCACCCATCACTAAACTACCCCACCCGTCACTCTGCACCCCAACCCATCACTCTGCACCCCCAACCCATCACTCATCTCCCCCACCTGTCACTCTGCACCCCAACTTGTCACTCTGCACCCCCATCCATCACTTTGCACCCCAACCCATCACTTTGCACCCCCACCCATCACTCAATTCCCTCACCCATCACTTTGTACCCCAAGCCATCACTATGCACCCCAACCCATTACTCTGCACCCCCACCCATCACTCTATACCCACAACCATTACTCTGCACCCAGCCCCATCACTCTACATCCCCACTTATCACTCTAACTCAAAACGTCTCTGACATGTGGTACCCCCATACTAACGAGAAGTAGCAGAATTTATTTTGGGGAGTAATTCCACATATACCCATGGCATGTGTGAGCAATAAATCATTTAAGTGACAATTTTGTGGTAAAAAGAAACATTTTTTGTTTTTCTCATTATCCAAAAACTTGTGGTAAAAAAATAAATTCTTCTATTGATTCAACATGACTCTCAGCAAATAGTCTGGGGTGTCTACTTTCCAAAAAGGGGTCATTTTGGGGGGTAGGGGCATTTTATGCCCAGCATTAGAAGTTTATGCCACACATCATTCACTCTTCTAACCACCTGAAGATCAAGCCTTTTCTGACACTTTTTGTTCACATGAACAAAATCAATATTTTTTGCTAGGAAATTAATTTAAACCCCAAACATTATATATTTTTAAAGCAAATACCCTAGTGAATAAAATGACGGGTGCTGCCCTTTTTTTTATCTCACACAGTACTCACGCAGCGATTTTTCAAATGCAATGTTTTTTTTAAAAAATACACTTTTTTTTACTTTTAATGCACTAAAACACAAAATATTGGATATTATTTGTTAAAATATAAAAGATGATGGTATGCCGAGTAAATAGATACCAAACATGACATGCTTTAAAACTGGGCATGCTCCGTGCAATGGCGCCAAACTGCATATGTTTTTAATATCCATAGGCAACATTTTAAAAGCCTTTACAAGCTACCATTTTAGATTTACAGAGGAGGTCTAGTGTTAGAATTACTGTCCTTGATCTGACGTACGTGGAAATAACTCACATGCATGATGCAACCACTGTTTCCATACTGGCAGAGGGTCAACGCTCACAAACACAGAAGCACTCGTGCGCAGGGGGGCGAGGGTACTTTGTTTTGTATTTTTTTTTTTTATTTTGTTAATTATTTTAACACTGTCCCCTTCATTTGTTTTTATCACTTTTAATGCTATCAGAGGGAATGCAAATATCCCCTATAACTTCAATGGGCATTGTCATATATTCTTTTTTTGAGAAATCAGGGTTCTATCAGACTCTAGATATCTCCTCTGCCCTTACATTATTTAATCAAACCAAGATCGGTGTGATCAGATGCTTTCCCAATTTACAAATGGCGCTGTTTATATCCTGTGAAACTGAAGTGATGAAAGGCTCATAGCGTCCAATTTCTTAGACTATAGAGATGATTGGCACCATTCTGGTTTCCAATCAGCTGTATGGTCAGCTGGCAGAAACACCGGCTGCATTCTCAGGTTGCGCCTATGGCACGGGATTGCCCGAGAAGGCCGTGGAAGGCAGTGGGGGAGGGGGGCATTGCCTGCAGCTAATTAGCCACTAAGATTGCTTTTACATGAAAGCCGATCGCTAGCTGAAAAAAATGATACCAGGATGATGCCTGCAGCTGTAGGCATCATCCTGGTATAACCATTCAAAGTCCAGTGATGTACCAGTACGTCACTGGTCCTTGATGGGTATGCAGTAATACCTCGGATTACAAATTTAATTCGTTCTGCAGGACATTTCGTATAGCAAAGAATTTGTAAACCAAAACACTGTTTCCCATAGGAATGAACTGAAAACCAATTAATCCGTTCCGAAGGTCAGGAAAACAGTACTACTAAAATACAGCATGTGTTATTTTATTAACTCATGCAGTATTTTAGTAGTGATAACCATGTGTTAATGTCTCAGCTGTCAGTGGGGTTCCCCACTGACAGATGAATGTAAAATAATTGCTAGCAATTAAAAAAATTATTTTTTACACTCAGCTGTCAGGTGCCAGTTTCTTAAATGTAATTACCGTTTTTTTTTTTCTTCACTATACAGTAGTTCAGAAATTCATCTGTCACTTTCCCCCTCCAGCTAAAAGAGAGAAAGTTTATTTCCCCAAAAGAAACAATGTTTCCTTTCAGTTTCTTAAAAGATACAAAGTATCCTTTAGCTTTGGGGAAACTGACAGCTAATGTTGTGAGCTATAGTGAAGAAAAAAAAAGATGGCAATTGCATTTAAAAGCAGCACTGACATACACTTTGTATTGTGAAAAAAAATTTGTAAAAAATTTGTAAACCGAGGCATTATTTTCAACGGATTTTCATTCATAAACCGAAAATTACGTTAACAGAGGCATTCGTAAACAGAGGTATTACTGTATATGCTTTGTCCTTTTTTTTGTATGCAGCCTGTGGACTGAATGAAAAAAAGAGAAGAAATCTCTGCCAGAAAAAGTGTGTGGTATGCCCACCATTAGAATATACCGCCCTGCATCAACCCACATCTAATGGTGGGCACACGTTAGGTCACATGGTGCCACATGCGCCAGTTCCAAGATTGTACAAATGTCTAAATAGTGGCACACTTGAATAAAAATTGTCCATGTATAAGTGGTACCCCATATGGAAAAAGGATGACACCAAGTCCCAAACTATCTTGCCACTACTCCCCATGTAGTCTGGGCATCTGGGGGGCTCTTTTCCCTCGTAAATCTGAAACCTATAAGTATAGCCTGTTGCCCTCTTACAGGTCTTCTACATCTTGACCCCATATTTGGCACACTTGCTGGGAAGAAATTGTTTGAATGCAAGGTGGCCAGAAAAATGTATGTGAGACTCATCAACGCAGATTTTTTTGCTGGGGAGTATAGGCATCTGCACATTTTTTGTTAACCAATAGCCTACAGGGCACTTATACCCCCTTCCTGCAGAGGCCAATTTCCAGCTTTCAGCGCTGTTGCACTTTGAATGACAATTGCGCGGTCATGCAACACTCTACCCATATGACATTTTTATCATTTTTTTGTGAAAGATAGAGCTTTATTTTGGTGGTATTTAATCACCTCTGGGTTTTTTATTTTTTCTTAAACCAAAAACCACTGAAAATTTTGAAAAAAAAAAAAATTTTTCTTAGTTTTTGTTATAAAATTTTGTAAATAACTGATTTTTCTCCTTCACTGATGTGCGCTAATGAGGCTGCACTGATGGGCACTGATAGGCTGCACTGATGGACACTGATAGGTGGCACTGATGGGCACTGATGAGGAGGCACTGGTAGGTGGCACTGATGGGCATTGACAGGCATCACTGATGGGCACTGAAAGGCAGCACTGATAGATGGCACTGATAGGTGGCACTGATAGATGGCACTGACTGGCACTGTTAGGCAGCACTGACAGGCAGCACTGACGGGCACTGATAGGCGGCACTGATGCACACTGATAGGCGGCACTTACTGGTACTGATAGGTGGCACTGATTGGCAGCACTGATAGGTGGCACTGACTGGCACTGATAGGCTTCACTGACTGGCACTGATGGATGACACTGATAGGTGACAGCTCAGATGAGCACTGATATGTGGCATTGATGTGGCAGTGATGGGCACTGAAATGTGGCACTGATGTGGCACTGGCAGGAGGCATGGATGAGCATTGAGAGCTGGCACTGATGGACACTGACAGGTGGCTACACAGATCATCAGGGCACACTGATCATCAGTGCTCTTATAATCTGTGTACATGTCGCCTCCGAGAAATGCCGATTACTGGCTCTCCTCTCCTCACGACCTGTCAGCGTGACAGCTCGGGGGAGAGAAATGCCGATAACCGACACAGCTGATCACATGGACACAGCTGATCACATGACCGAGCCGACATCTTTGGCTTTTTCCGTGGATTGGTGATCCGCTGTGTCCGAGGGACACAGCGCACCGTCGATCGCCGTGCTGGGTGCTCCAGGAGCCGCGCATGCGCGGTTAAAATGGAAGGACGTCATATGACGCCCTCCCAGAACGAGAGATCCACCTTGCATCCATCATTTTACTATATGGCAGGCGGGAGGTGGTTAAGGTAACTTGTAAGAGGCTGAATTTTGTGGAGCCGATCAAATTCAGGGTCACTCCAAGGATGACAGAGCTTATTGTTGTTGAAATGCAAAAAACACATTATACTCTCACATCTATGCTTGGCCATGGCAGCAGAGAACACGGGCGTATGATGAATCGGGTCTGTGGACCAATACAACGGCAATTCATTTTTTTTAGTAATGCCCATGTTGAGGGTTAGGTCCAAAAAAAATGTAAATTTGGAAACTGTAATGGGTTTCCATGCGAATGGTTTGGCAAGGTTTGAATTGGGTTGGCGGCGATAAATTGCTGTGCATATAAATTGCTTTGATCCACAATCGATACATACAGATCTTCCGTGAAAAACAGCTCCAAAAAATCAAGGGGAGTAGTTAAATTTGCTATTTCCACCTGAATTCCGGGTTGGGCAGTGAATGGGGGAAGTACGGGTGCTGCAGAATTTGTGGGCTGCCAGTCAGGATTTGCAAGCACATCCGGAAGGATACTAGAGTCTCTACAGGCCTGTGTGCGAATTCTTGGTGGTTGCGGGACAATACTTATGCTCGCCACCACACCAGCTTGTACTGCACTTATGGGACTCGCGATACTGCAGTGCTGGTATTATTATTATTATACAGGATTTATATAGCGCCAACAGTTTGCTCAGCACTTTACACCGCGTTCCAAATTATTATGCAAATTCTATTTAAGTGTCACAAAGATTAAATATTTTGTTTTTCAGTTTAACTCATGGATGGCATTGTGTGCCAGGGCTCTTTTGATCAGTGAAAACAATCTCGGACACTTGTGATAATTAGATTGGACGGTGAGCCCAATTTAAGGAAAAAACTGCTAAAGGAGGGTGTTCCACATTATTAAGCAGAGCACCATTTTCAAGCAATATGGGGAAGAAAAAGGATCTCTCTGCTGCCGAAAAGAGTGAAATAGTTCAATGCCTTGGACGAGGTATGAAAACATTAGATATTTCATGAAAACATAAGCGTGATCATTGCACTATTAAGAGATTTGTGGCTGATTCAGAGCACAGATGGGTTCGTGCAGATAAAGGCACATTGAGTAAGATTTCTGCCAGATCCATGCATTGGATCAAGAGAGCAGCTGCTAAAATACCATTACATAGCAGCAAACAGATATTTGAAGCTGTTGGTGCCTCTGGAGTCCCACGGACATCAAGGTGTAGAGTCCTCCAGAGCCTTCAACTGTGCATAAACCTTCTATTCGGCCACCAATACATGAAGACTAATTTTCAAACAGTCCTGTTCAATGATGAGTGCCGTGCAACCCTGGATGGTCCAGATGGATATAGTAGTGGATGGTTGGTGGACGGCCACCCTGTTCCAATAAGGCTGCGACGTCAGCAAGGCGGTGGTGAAGTCATGTTTTGGGCAGGAATCATGGTAACAGAGCTGGTCGGCCCCATTAGGGTCCCCTAAGGTGTAAAGATGACCTCTGCAAAGTATGCGGAGTTTATGACTGACCACTTTCGTCCCTGGTACAGAAGGAAGAACTATGCTTTCCGTAATAAAATCATCTTCATGAATGACAATGCACCATCTCATGCTGCAAAGAATACCTCTGCATCAATGGCTGTTATGGGGATAAAAGGAGAGAAAGTCATGGTGTGGCCTCCATCCTCCCCTGGCCTCAATCCTATTCAGAACCTTTGGAGCATCCTCAAGCAAAAGATCTATGAGGGTGGGAGGCAGTTTACATCCAAACAGCAGCTCTGGGAGGCTATTCTGACATCTTGCAAATAAATTCAAGCAGAAACTGTCCAAAAACTCACAAGTTCAATGGATGCAAGACTTGTGAAGCTGCTATCAAATAAGGGGTCCTATGTTACAATGTAACGTGACCTGTTAAAATGTTTAAAAAGTTAAAATGTTGTTGAAAGTTTGATTGAAATAGCTTTTGATTTCAGTAAATATGCTGCAAACACAACAAATTACAATTTTCAGTTCTTTACAACCTATAAAGTGTTTTGAAACTTACTCTGCGTAATAATTTGGAACAGTGCATTGTAAGTTTTTTATGTTTAACAAAAATACTGTTATCATTAGGAGGTTTGTTCAATAAAATGTGAATTGTACTCTTAATAGTTGATAACATGAGAATTATGCTGACTGTTATTTACATCAATTATTTAGGTAAATGAGAAAAATATCATTTGCATAATAATTTGGAACAGGGTGTACAATATAACGGGAGACAATACAGCAACAATGCAGTTCAATACAAAAGGGTTAAGAACTTACAATCTAAGAGGTATGTGAAAGATTAGGAAGTACTAGGCCACTAGTACTCGACAGTTCACTAAAAGGTAGCGCGGCACTAATACTGGCACTCTGCTGCATATGAGAGTCATCAAAATTTACTGGCAAGTGCTAACAGAGATCAGGTCTGATTCTGCCAACACTGCAATTTTGTGTGCAATGTATCAAGTGACAGTAACTACTGACACTGCACTTGCTGGGGGAGAAGGGGCAGGTAAACGTAGGGGCTAAACGCAGGTGCTGGGGCTGATCCCAACTAACGCTGCATTTTGGGGGATGACAATTTTGAGAAAAAAAACAATATTTTGGACTTTTTGCTATAAAACATGTCCAGGAAAAAAATGTAAAAATCAAATTTCATCATAAATAGCCAAAATGTATTCTGCAACATGTCTTTTCTACAAAAAAATACATGTAAATTAATTGGTTTACGTGAAAGTTATAGCGTTTACAAATGGTGATATAGATACTGGATTTTTTTGTATACTAATAATAGCGGCGATCAGCGACTTACGGCAGCAATCAGTGACTTATGGCAGCGTTCAGCGACTTATGGCAGGACTGCTGGACTGCAGCAAACATTCTGACACTTGGGGGGAACTGACTTGGGTTCACCGACATCCCCAGTGACACCAATACAGTGATCAGTGCAAAAAAACACTGACGCTGTACTAATGGAACTGGGGAGGAAGGGGTTAACATTTTTAGGCAGTCAAAAGTTTAACTGTGTGAGGGGAGTGTTTTACTAGTGGGTGGGGGGTGTGTTCTTCACTGTTGCAAGCTGTCCTGGAAAGCTAAGCTCTGCTCCGTGGAACAGTGAGCTGGGAACTGACAGGGAGCAGAGCTGCATTGAAAACAATGCAGCTGTGCTCTGTGTCAGTGTTTGCCAGCAATCCCTGGTACCTGGCGGGTAATCACCAGCCGGGACCTGGTGATTGACACACGCGGGGCCGCGATTGGTGCCGGGGGGAAGGGCGGTCGTGTGCCTTGCACACACCCCCTAGCATGTAAACAAGGATCACATTTATATACATGATCCTGCCTACAGGGGCCTCTTTGCTGCAGCATATGTACTGTGGGAGCAGTCCCCTAGTGGTTAAGAAAGTGCTGTTTGTTTGTGTCCATGTAGAAAGTAACCCTATTGGGAGTGATTTTATAATCATCAATCAGCTGCTGCACCTGCAAGTCTTTATTGAGGAAAATTGCAGGGTCTGCATCCTTTTAGATGTGTTTTCCTATTGGGAGTATCTCATCAAAAATGACACTTTTGTTGCAGGGGATGCCTAAAATCTCATTTGTATCTTAGTGCAGACTTCTGTAAGCCAATCACACAAGCAGAAAATTAGGTTTCTGGGGGCGTTCTGTATACTTTTTATGTACAGAACACATCCACAGCCATATTGCAATGCATTTTTACAGAAAATTACAGCACTGCAGATTGAAAAGGAAAGGTAATTTTCAATAGCATTCAGTTATACCTCCTCCTGATCGCCATAAAACAAATAGGCAAAATAGCAGCTGAAGCTAAACCGATCTGAGGTGTCATGATAAAATGTCAATGATAATAGAGTACAAACACATTTGGTGTCGATGCAAAACTCGTCACAGCTTGCAGCTGCACCAAATGTGTTTGTACTCTATTATCATTGATATTTTATTGTGACACCTCAGATCTGTTTAGCTCCAGCTGCTATTTTGGCTATTTGTTGTATGGCAATCAGGAGGAGGTCTATCTCTAGTCATGACCGGCCTTGTTGGTGTCCACATGGTGGAGGTGGGGCTCCCGATCTATGGCTGTATATAAGTAATTGGCACATTTGGCTTGCTCAGCTCTGAAGAAGGGAGGTCAGCTCCTGAAACGCATTAGCTCTTTCAACCAGTCAGTTCCAGGAAGGACCCGACATCCCATACTCAAGCTATTTTGCTATGAGCCTATCATGCTGTTTCTTTGTGTGTATTTTTCTGCTACCTTTTAGATGAATACCACGGTAATGCATGAGGAGTGTGTGCCCTCTTGTGTGTTCTTTGTAGCATTTTGAAGATTCCCCGCTCTATGAAGGGCTGAACCTGAGCAAATGGCATACACCGTAGAACATGTGGAGCGCCCTGGTTTTAGCGCTGATGTGATTTTATTATTCATCGATTTCTTAAAGTATAACTAAGGAATTGATTTAGTGTTTGATAGAGTGGAAAAGGAACAGGACACCTGTCAGTTTTTATTGCTGTCTGTGCCCCATTAGGCTGCATTCATACTTGAGCAATTTGTAGTTTGAAGCTCAAAGCGTGAAGCTCTAAAAACGCACAAATGCAAAAAATCAATTGTTCTCTATGGTGCCTGTTCACACCTGATTATGGTGCCTGTTCCCACAGAGAACAATTGATTTTTTTACGTTTGAGTTTTGGAGCTTTGAGCTACAAATCGCACAAGTGTGAATGCAGCCTTAGGGAGATTCACCCTCTCTATTTGTCCTGTTTATCATTATGTCCAAGAGTGAAAGTAAAAGAAAATCCAAAATGTTGGATTGAGACAAGAAAAAGGAATAGAAAGGAAATCTTCCAATAGGGACACTAGCTCTGGTGACCCTCGTGATAACTAGG